TATATATTCAGTTCCGTTTTGTATTTTCGAGGACGGAAATTTTTAAGGAGGGAGGATTGTAATATCCCGTCATGTTAGTAATATAAATCATGTGTTTAGTTCCGATATAATAATATTGTTGATTATTATTTTCGGAATTAATTATTTCAGTCGAGATTATCCGAAATTATTTTCGAAGTCATATTTACGTTCGGAATCATTTTGGTAATTGGGAATCATGATTAGTAATTAATTAAGCATCTAGATTATGCTTAATTAGTAATTAATCATGTTCAATCACTTAATGCCGTAGGCAATTAAGGGTAATTGCTCAATTTTTTTAAGTAAAAGCCGTGAGCAATGTAGTGATCATTATTAGGGAGATTTGTTGTCTTATTAAGCATGAGGTGTCATCAATTAAGACATTAAGAGATGACTAACCTCTTAGTTAGGTGACTAAGCTGTAAGTCTTAGCAAGTGGAAGGGCTAATGAAATTTTCCTCACCTCTTCATCCACTTTCGATCACATATATAGCATAGGTTGGGGAGAAATTTGCTCCTACACACCTTAATATATATATATATATGTGCTAAGTATAGAAAGGTATAGTAAGAGTTACCTTAGTTGAGAGAGCATAGCGCGGAGCTTAGTCGCAAGCATACGCAAGAGCCACCGCGCGCACACGGAGGAGGATCATCCAAGCTGTCAAGTGTTCGAAGAGGTAACCCCGGTTTACCTTCTCTGGATATTATTAGAATCATGTTAGATCAATTATGTTCAGATCAAGTTCATGAATTAGACTTAGAAGTGCTCTCGGCCGTGCGAGTTAAATCATATCGAACATGCTCATTTAAATCTGACACTCCCGAACAACTTGCATGTATTCAGTCAGTATATAGTATATTATGTTTAGTTAAGGTAAGTTTGTCGGGAGATTTTCATGTTTGATTGGTGAGTTGGCCGAAGGATGTGGGCTGCGCACGTAGCGCACGCCACGGGCCGTACCATGTCTTTCTAAGTTAAGTTAAGTCATGTTCATAATCTCTCGAGCGAATTATGTGTGATTCTTCATGTTATGTTAAGTTATGTTAAATCATGTTTTAGTTGCCGAGAGAAGTTGTCAAGTGGTCGAACATATCGACCGTAGCGTCGGGTCGCGTCTACGCGCACGCTACAACCATGTTTCAAGTCATGTCGATGTCTTTCATGTGCAATTTCTTGGAATTATGTGTTATGAGCATGTCAAGTCATTTCATGTTAATTCATGTTAAAACGGTCGAGAGAAATTGTCGGACGGCCGACAAGTGCCGGTCGTTGCCGCACTTTCCGCACACAGCGGCAGCAGCGCGCCGGCAGTCAGCCAACGCGGACAGGCAGCGTGTGCGCATGCCCGCGAGGCATCGCGCACAGCCTGCCGCGACAACAGTTCGCTGGCAG